GGATATAGCTTTATGTTAGAACAAAAAAAAAAAAAGTCTAATTTTGTCTGATAAGTGGGCTAGGAATAACTGAAAAGTGAAGCTCTATAAAGAATTCAAAAGTTAAACCATGGCTAATAAGCCTTAGAGAAAGACTGTACACACAGATCTCTATGTTCTTTATCCTCAAAAGCTACCTATCACATTAGACAATTTGAAAACACAGTTGTTCATTTATAGCTCTGCGTTTATTCCATCCTCTTCCCATTTCTCACAACCTCCGTGTAAATCAATGGCCAAATTAACATTATAGAAGAAATAATGTATCTGAAGAGCTGTGGAGAGCAACATGTGCCTCTTAATACTTCACTTCTCTTTAGCCTAGGATTAGGGCCTGCCACATGTGAGTTTTTACTAAAAAATGATGGTGTCCTGAGGCCCAGCAGTTCCTACAAATGCCTGCAATGCTTGCAGTACTATATATACGGGACTATTGATAAGGATTCAGTATCAAAATTTAGTCTAGTGTTCCACAACACACTGAATTAAAGCCATATGTTTATCCTGTTTATCCCCATATTAGTCTATTTGTAGAAACAGCCAATATACTTTAGTAAACATATAAATAATTATCTTTAACTTCCCTGCTGTGAGCTTAATCTGGGAATGGAATGTAAGGGATACAATGACCACATTCTAGAAAGTCAGTAGGAGTGACAGTGGTAGGTAGGGAGGATTTTGGGAGGTGGGTCTGTCCTGAACAGGTAGCTGTGAGCTGTCTCCCAAGATGTGAGGTGTAGCAGTGTGAGAATGGCACTGGCAGTAAATTACAGGACAGTGCATTATATAACTTTGGCTTTTTCATACAATCTGCGATTCAAATTTCTTTGCAGAGGCATAATATTGTGTGAAGAAATAGAAAGTAAGTAATGTAAGTAAAGAAAAGCTCATGAAGTAAGAGGAAGCTGGTGAACTGGAAAGATTTAGGGAGAATTTTTGGTCTTGCAAATCAGAGTTGCACTTCCAGACTTGTACTAATATTATTTTTGTTCCTACTGGCTGTAGAGCTAACCATAGGTGAAAAAGAAGCAGGGAAAAGAGAAAAGATGTGGGGGATTTATTCTCCTGCATACAAAAGCTTCACGGTTTACAAAGGTAGCAAAGATGTTCTGAAGAGTAAACTGATTAGGTGAAGTGTCTTCAGAATGTCCAGTAATATAATGATGATGGTGTATTAATATGAAAAACTCCAAATAATGAAAGGTTTAGCAGGAAGCAGAGCTACACACCACGTCTCTAAGAGGCCCAAAGTCCTGACAGCCCTTGACATTCAGAAGTATCAGACATCATGAGTGGAATGAAGAAGCTATTGCTGATATTATAAAATGATCCATATTCACACCTTTATGTCTTTCATTTAGCAATTTTGCAGAGCTAAACTCAGTGTTTCATTCCTCTACAATTAGCTGTATATGTACACAGAGGCATTCATGCAAGCATATTGCTTACTATTGCAGCCTGTCAATGGTTTAAAAGGAGGAAAGTTTATCAGATGCCATGGAGGATGTTTATGTTGTTGTTTTGTTCTTATTCCTTCTTGACATCCCACTCACTCTCGTAAAATTTCCTGAAGAAATGCAGGGTAATTTCTCATCTTGGTTCAAGTGTGAATTTGAGGAAACAGGAATTAAGAAAATATTTAGGGAAGGCCAAAAGATTCAAGACTATGGTAGCAGTAATTTAATTGGAATATTTTGGAGTTAAAGGAGAACCTTGGATTAATTGTTCCATATATTGTCTCAGCCATTTTTAGTGATCTGTTGTGTCACATAACTCCTGTTGAAGTGTGGGAGTTGCAAAATCAGTGTTTTAAACTAGTTATCATGTTGAGGTGAAAGGTAGGATTTTAAGTTGTATTCCCCATATTTCACTTAGATGAATTGTAATCTTTGTTCCTCAGGTTTGGTGTTTTACATAATTGGCATAATTAACCGCAAAAATCTCATAGGATAAGAGTGTATTTAGCGGCACAAGAAATAAAAATATGAAGTTTATGACTGCCCATTTAAATTTCTTGAACACATATGTGAAGTGTCAAGTCCAACAGGGATCTAGTTCTTGTACTTTGAGAAGACCAAGAAGAGGTTTATTGACCATGTGAGAAAACAAATTTTTGTTTGTTAGTGAATAAAAATCAAGAAAGTGATATATGTGTTCAAAAAGCCTTTTCTGAAAGTTTGAATTATTTAGTAGTACCAGATCTTTAATTGATAATTAGTCATCCAGTATCCTTTTCTTTTCTCCATTTGTTCAATGTTTCTTTTTCACAAATAGCTCCTGCCTATTTGATTGTAGGTGGTTCAACAAGCCTAATCTCCTCTTTCTTGAATGTAAGGGTTAAATCTCTATGGCCAAGATATGGTGGAAAGACTAGAAAATTCTCTCTCCACATGTGGCAAAGGATATGAAGTCTATTGAAAAATGTAAATTGCCTTCATATCAGAGCTGCTTTCTTCTAGCAAAGAATTGACATATGAAAGAAGTTTCACAAGGAAAAGAGAGTTTTAATGTAAATGTATTTTTGCAAAGGAGGATTTAAATGCAGTTGCAGTTCTTCTTGAAATATATCAAATAAATACCCTTCTGAAAGCAAATGCATAAGGTTGTCTCATCTCTGTAAGTTGAGAGGACACCCCAATCATTCTGTTCTGAGGGAAGTTATCCTTCAGATATGTGGAAGATAACTCTGGTGTTTTAATCCTAAATTATTTGGATTGGCAACTGGATTAGCTCACCCAGTGAAAAGTTTGAAAAAGGAAATATTTACACATGCTTATTTTTGAGATGCATCTGCAGCCCTGGAGAACAAGGTACTGAAACAAACTATTGAAACAAGACAGAGCTCAGTGGACATCAAATGCCCAAGTGAGCTCTCCAAAATTTGAACCTCCTCTTCCAAGGATAATATTGCATTAAAATTTCCTGAACTCACTTTTACCCAGATTGTAGATCAGAATTTTTAAGCAAGCTGATGATTTTTGTCTGACAGGCCAAAATAAGTCCCTCTGTTGAATGAAAGCAAGTCCTTCAATATAGGCTACCTTGAGCAGTGTTGTCTTCAGGCAAATTCCTATGTCTGGATGAAAACCTATGGGACAGCTCCCCTGTTTCATAGATCTTTTTGGTTTTATTTTTTTTCTCCTCCAGTTTTTTCTTTTTTCTTTTCTGTGCAGAGTTCTCTCTAAACTGTTTTTTAATACTCAAGATTAACGCACTAAATGATCTAATCATGGAAGGGTGCCTTTACAGACAATTCTATTTCCTCTGTTCTTTCTGTAGCTGAACTGATGGTCTTGGATTCTCTCAAAAGAAGTCTTTTGCACTAAGAAACATTTCACTAACTCAAAAGGGAAATAGTGTTTCTTTCAGATGAAAGAACCTGGACTAAGAGTAAGAGGAGATGAGTAGGACTGTTTTCCCCAAACTAAGTAACCTCAGATTTTTGCTCAATGTACCATTTTAATTCAGCAAACATGGAGGACTGTATTGGCCCAAACTTGAAAACAAATTATAAAGGAAACAAAAAATAGACTTTTACTGCAGGTCTCTGTGTGATTATTTTTTTGTTTCGTTTGGTTTCTACTGCCAGTAATACCAATGTTCTAGGCTTCTTGCACAAGCCTAGTAAGCTCAGCACTGTGTACAATTTCTTTAACAAAATCAAGTAAAATCTGTATTCTAACATAGCAGAATGCTAGCAATGCTCCATTTGGTTTCTTTTCTACCAGTAGTGAATCAAGAAAGTGTTTTTAGTCAAACTCAGACTCCAGTTTCCACTTTCTGTTGAGTACAGATTGTGTCAGATTCATGAAGCTATAGAATAGAAAGAGACACAGAGCTGAACTCTCTGTCCATGCAGAAAAAGATGGAATGGTATCCCCTTGATTTTTAATTTTTTTTTTGCTGTTTAGACCAACTTACTCGAACCAATATCTATAAGCCAGAATGCTGGACTCCTCTTCATGTGAGAGTGCATTCCTCCCATGTCTCCAGAGACAAAACTTGTGTATGTGCTCTCTCTTGTGTATGTGTTCTCTCACCCTCTCACCTCATGATTCTTGCATTTTTGTCTGTATATTTGCCTGTCTTCAATGGGGAAGGTGAGAAAGAACTCCACTTGGGTTTTTTCCCCTTTTGATGGGAACTAGAGGAAGTGGGTCTATACCCATCAAGTAGGGAGAGATATGAATGCAGGTTTCCCATTTCCTGGACACATACTCTAACAATTATGCTGTGTGCCAAAGACAGCACTCATCATAACCAACTGTTTTTCAAAGAGTATCTGACTTAATGATATATACAGGTGTTAGGAGTGCTTTATGTTTATGTGTATCTATTGGATCAGACCTGTTAAGGGATTTAGAGATGTAAGTATTTACTTTTTGAATGTCTTAATCACCGTAGGTAAGGAGATATCCTAACCAGGTTATCTAGTTAAAATGGGGCATAGGCTTCAGTAGGAAAAGCTATAACTAATACAGGATACAGAGAAAAGCTCTTTTTCCAGACAAAAATATATTAAGAGCATGGAATTTATGAATCTAAATGTCACTGTGTTCTTTGTCTTCTGCATTTGTCTAAAAATATTGCTGTGTACTTGTTAAAAATTTTACATTTATATACAACTTATTCTAGGAGTATTCAAACTAAGATTAAAAAAAAAACCACCAAAAACTGCCTGTTAGGATCTCCTTCCCAGGGGGTTATACTTGCTAACTGCAACATTTTTTACTGACATGTTTTTTTTACCTGATACATATTTCTATCTTGAGAGGATAGATTTTTTTTTTCCGGATTATCTACATGTACGCTATGAAGTTAGGTATTGTTTGAACATTGTGATTCATAGGAATCATTATATAATGTATGTTGAAGATGTGGAACCAAAACTGCTATTTAAAGGATGTTACTTGTATAACATTCCTGAGTTTCTCACCTTTTTCTTTAATTTTCCAATGCAGATAACAATACCCAGACCTTCAGTGGCATCCACACAGTCTGCTTCAGAGAGCTTTCACTATGGCCACCAGCTGGAGAGAAGAGAGCAGGATGGTCAATCTGTGGAACATACCATGGAACTTTCCTCTCCAAAGGAAAGTTTGCCAGGTTTGGCTGGGACAGAGGATGCACTTCCAGCTAGTGCGAACAGACCAGATTTGGTACTTAATATTAACCAAGAGGTGCTTGACAGGGGAGGACTTGTCAAAGAATCTGTCCCGGATTGTGACCAAACGGACCTACCTGAACACAATGGGATACAGGAAGAGAAAGAGCTTGGAAATATTCCTGTGGAGGAGGCTGAGGTTTCTGAGGATGCCATTGAAATGCTTAGCAAAGAACAGAATTCTTCTTTGCCAGGAAACTCAAAATCTGCAGAGGAGGAACCTCTAACAAATACTGAAGCAGCTCAAGAATCAAAGTCAAGGCCTATCTGTTTGGTGCCAAATCAAGATGAGGTTCTGAAGTCAATAGCACCTAAAACATCAGAATTGTCTCCCTCAAGACTTAATAATGCACATGTTAATAGACAGGGAAGCAAAATAGCAACCATTCAGGAAAATGGTTTTCATTCTGATAAGGAGGAAGTCCATAGCCAAGACCTGAAATGCCACCAAGTGGCTCTTACTACTATTTTGCAGCAGGAGAATAAAAAAGAGAAAAATGCTCCCAGAAATGGAGAGTTATTCCATTGCATTTCAGAAAATGAGAATTCTTATAGATCTAAGAAGGACTCCGTTAAATCTTCTTTTGTATTCAGGCAGAGTCGAATCCCAGTTTTAGCACAAGAGATAGACTCAATGTCAGATTCCTCTTCTGTTTCTGCAAAGGAAAAGCTTCTTCTAAAAAAGGCCCATCAGACAGACTTGGTCAAATTACTTATGGAAAAGAGACAGCTCAAATCTTTCCTTGGTGACCTCTCAAGTGCCTCTGATAAGTCACTGGAGGAAAAAATGGCTGCTGCTCCAGTACCGTTTTCTGAGGATGATGTCTTAGCTTCGTTTTCTAAATTGACATTGGACTCTCATTTCAGCAAGCAGAATGAAGATAGCTCTCTATCTCCAAGCAGCCCTCAGTCCAGAAAAAGCAAGATTCCAAGACCAGTGTCTTGGGCAACCTCTGATCAAGTTACCAGTTCAAGTTCAGCTCAGTTCTTTCCTCGGCCACCACCAGGAAAACCGCCTACTAGACCTGGGGTAGAAGCTAGGTAATGCAGAGAAAATAGAAATAGATTTTCAGGTTGAAATAGATTTTCAGGAGCTAGACTACAGTTACTGTGCAGGATGTAATGCTGTAGAAGTTCCACCCTCCAACCAATTGAAAAACAAATGCTGGGCTTCAATTCGGTGAGGAACCTTATAATGTTGGAGAATGAATGAGGAGAAGCTGATACACAAAATGAGCCTGGTTCACTGTTAAAACTAATACATTGATAAATGTGCATTCAATTTTTTGAAACGTGACAATCTATAACTAAATTTTTACACATTTTTTTAAAGTGGGGTTCCTTTTCCAGAACTGCTGGTTATTTAAAAACCCATAGAAATTTTTAGGAGCTCTTGTATTCAGCTCCCTTGAAAATTAATCTGTTCTTAATGTAGACATTGTAAATATTTGGAGATTCCAGCCATCACCATTAAGTCAATTAATGCTCAGATCATGTCTAAGTAAACCAACTAATTAAAGTAGGGCAGAGTGAATTTTAGAATACCTCCCATTTGCCACATCTATATGCAGACAACCACAATTTAGGTTTTTCTGTCTACATTCCCAAGATAAGGATATTTTTGATACAGTAGTGCAAAATCCTTTCAAGGAAGCTGCAGTGGGCCTTGTCATCCCTTAAAATTGTGTATGGGAGTGCACTGATGGTGTGCAGGAATGGATATACCCCTCTGAAATGGCAATAAGCACTGCTCTTCAGTGCACTTCTTCCAACACCACCAGGAAATTCCTGTTATCCTGTAAACACTGAGGCTATTTGTGGGAGTGAGTTTATATAAATACAAATACTATGTTGAGCTGAACAACACAGAAGCCAAAGCCTAGATCCAAATACCTCTACCTAACAGGAAAGTTGAGGTCCACATACCTGTTCAGCAATGCAACCGCCTCCTTAGTTTCTAGTGATATGGAGTTTCTATTTGAATTTTAGTGAATAGATGGAAAAAGAAATAATCTTTCTTCGTTTCTTCTCAAGGTTGCGCAGATACAGAGTCCTAGGCAGTAGCAGCTCGGACTCAGATCTTATCTCTCGTCTGGCTCAAATCCTGCAGAATGGATCTCAAAGACCAAGGAGTTCTACCCAGTGTAAGAGTCCAGGATCACCTCATAGTCCAAAAACGCCACCCAAGAGCCCTGTCATCCCCCGCCGCAGTCCCAGTGCCTCCCCTAGGAGCTCTTCTTTACCCCGTACTGCCAGTTCTTCTCCGTCCCGGGCTGGGAGATCCCATCATGATCAGAGGAGTTCATCCCCACATTTTGGGAGGAGTAAATCACCTCCTAGCCATTCAGGCTCTTCATCTTCTAGGAGGTCCTGCCAACAAGAGCACTGCTGCAACAAAACGAGCAAGAATGGTCTGAAAGGATCTGGCAGTTCTTTCCACCATTCCCCAAACACTAAGACTTCCACAGGAAAGAGCAAATCAACTACTAAGCTTAGCAGATAGGAACTGAGTCTTGACAGGTATAAAATCTCCTCCTAAATCTGATGCATGTTGTGTCTGTGTACTGTGTATTTAAAAAAATAATCAAAAAAAAGTATATTAAAAAAAGGTGTTGAATCTGCACATTTTAAAGAAAGTAGCCATTGTAAACTATTCATGAGAAAGCATTCTATGTAAATAAGCGGCCAGGCTTTGCCTTAGAGCAGGCAGCAAGCAGATCCACAAAATGGGAAGTAGAGGCCAGGGTAAGAATGGCTGGGTAGTCAAAGAGGTGCAATGTGTTTAGAGTGAAAAAGTATCTTGAAGGTGAGTGTTTTAAAATGGTATTAATCTTGATCTGTTTAGTTTCCCTAGTTAGAAGATTTGGCCTAATTATTTAACGCCTTGCGTAATCGAGGGGTATGTAAGAAAGCCTGAAACAGGCATTCCCAAAATGATGTCACTACTTGGGAGATAAGTACTGCTCAAGCATTTCTTTGCAGTTTTAAAAAAGCACACACTTTAGAAGATGATATTTCTGCCTTATAAATTTCTTCCATTTTGAGCTGCACTCACCTCTGAGTCACTGAGTGCTTATTTTGTCCCCTATTATGGCACAGATTTCTTACCTTAGTATCATATACCTTACCCCTTCTTGACACTGATGAAATTTAAAAAAATCAATATTTGACAAGATGTTTTTGTACCAATATTATTTAGAGATTTTCTTAGCAGTAATTAGGATCCAAGAAGCTGATTCTCAGTTCTATATCATACAGTTTTTTGGGAGTCATAGTGGGGTTTTTCAAACCACATTTGATAGGATTTGGAAAAGCATTATCTCCTGGGAAATAAGAGAAAGGAGTAGATGTATGCCCTTCACTGTATGTTGTAGATTTACAGGAAAATGCAATATAAGTTAGAAATTAAGAACCTTTCTTGACCCCCTTAATTCAAATGAAAAAAGAACCTTTGTTATTGCTGACTTTTATTTTCCATTATTTATGGATCACTTAAACCACAGATCTTGCAATGCAGAGATGATTACCAATCAAGTTTTGGGTTTTTGGTCATTTGTTTTTTAAAATTATGAAAGATGAAACAGAGATGAGGAAATTGTCTACTTTATGAATGTGATAGGTTAGGGGTGATGGAAGTACACTTAACACCCTTAGAAAATCTGGATAAGAATATTAATCATTAAAGCAAAATATACGGAAAGAAATCTGAGATATTTTCAGATTGGATTATTGTAATTCAGTTTCCCAAATGTGTTTTTGATGGAGCAGCTTTCTCAGTAAAGTCCATGGTGTTTAGTTCCTCCAGTTTTATTAGGCAGTTACTCAGTAACATCTTGTGCTCTGCAGGAACCCTGTAGGGAATGAAAGGTGTGGCACCTTTTGCTGTGTTCAGAAAAGCATAGTGGATCAGAATAGGGACAGACAAGAACACAAGCCTGAGAAAGATGCAGCCAGCTCTCCTCCCTAATGATTCCTGTTGTGGGGACTCTGGATGCATAGGACACTTGTCAATTACTGATCTGCTTGCTGTAGTCATATGCCTCTCCAGCCAGCATCTGTGTTTTTTTATTTAACCTCTGCCAAATGAATATTTTTGGATTTAAAAGGGAATATTTTGTCTCTGAGCTAACACATTCTAATGCTGCATTAAAGCTGCCCTAGAGCTGCACTGAATTTCACTTGCTTTGTCAGACTATGTTGATTTTTTCCTTTTCTTATTATGTATATTTTTTCCCATATGTAATGTAGCACAGTGTGGAACCTTAATTTCATTCAGGTTTCAAGCACTACAGATGAATGCAATAGGTAGGGTATACCTGCTTTTTCTGAAGAAACTGTACCATTGCAAAGTCCTATTCCTTTGTATTATAATGTATAATAGGTGCTATACCAATAATTGCATGTCCTCATGGTAAATTATATAATATAAATATTTATATATACATATATGTATATGCTTATATAAACTCATTCTTTCTCATTTTTCATTTGTAATTTATGGACCACAAATAGTACAGTTCCCTTTCTGTTAGCTCTTGTATACTTACCTCTTCTATTCTCCCCTGCACCCCTGCCAAAAAAATCTGGAATGCACAAATTCTAATAGCCTTTATACCTTGGTACAAAATTGAAGGACTGCTGATTTCTCAACCAGCCAATGTTTTGTGTTGCAGCTTTGTTTTTTTTATTTTTTATTTCTAATTTCATGTACACATTTGCATATGGAACAAGAACAAAGACTCAAAAGGTGTTTTTATTTTTTATTACAAATAGGTCTTGCTCATTTTTATTTCATTATGTGAGTTCTAAATTGTGAATACTTGTCATTTAGGAACAGTGACAGTCTATGAATACCTAATGGTTGAATGTGACAACAAAAAATTCCATCTTTTCCTTCCTGTTTTCTACATGTTTCCTTATGGTATACTATAAAAAAGAATTTGGTCACATTGTGATGTTTTTGTCCTGGGCACTTGCTGGAATGATTTGTTAAGGTGGTGTGGCAGCATATGATTATTTTTCCTTATTTCTGAAAAGCATTTATTATCATCATGTAAGTTTATTCCTATGTTACATTGTCAGTTTTCATAAGTACTAACTTTATGCATCCTTGCCTGAAAATGCTGAAGTTGAGGTGTTTATATTTTCTCTCTAGTGTAACAGGATCCAGAAATGGTAACTGCTTTACAGGTGAGAAAGCGCATAACACCTCTGTTACGTTGTCTTCAAAGTACAGGCTTGTCCATTGTTAGACATTACTATGTAAAATAAACCAATGCTGTAGAAATTCACTCGTACTTGAACTACTTGCCAATGTAAAAATAGTAAACTATGCCAAAAAGAAAAAGAGAAATCAGTCATTATTGGTGACACAGGCTTCTTTTGGTGAGGAAAAGGTAGAAGGACTGTATACCCCCAGTTGCTTTTTTTGCTGTAGATTTAACAGGATCTAAGGAGAAAATAAGAAGATGTGAATGGAGGAGCAATTGTGAATAACTTAGCTTGAACTAGCTGCTCTTCTTGAGTTTTTTGTTGCTTGATACCCTTCTCCCAAAAGTTTACAGAAATGCTTACTGTAGTCTAACATAGCAATCAGTTAATGTTATTAAGTAATGGTCAATTGATTAACTCATACATTAATGTTAGCTTAATATTTCTAGAGGGCCTATATAATCATTAAGGACTCTGTAAGCCTCAGTATTTGAATGTGGATATGGCTCTGCAGAAAACCACCAATGTACATGTGTGTGACCCTTGTGCAGAGTGTGTGTGAATAGTTTATGGCAGGTTATCTGCAACACATTTTCAGGGACGGGGAAGATTTTTCTCCATTGTACAAAATGGCTGCCGTTACTCTGCATAGCACACAGCAGTTCATTTAGGAATATTAGCTGGGAAATAATAAAATTCAAGGAGCTGTTGCTTTGTCTTTTCCCTTTCTTTGGTGAGCAGTGCAATGGGGCCATGACATGTAGCAGGTGCAAATGCTGCATGCTCATTTCCTCTTTATGGTGTATTCTGTGTTGTGGCCAGCACTTTGGAGCATTTTTTAGAGAAACTGAGGCATGAAGCCTTTAAACTAAAATAGAACTTGAAATCACCAAACATTTCACACAGACTTTTGTGCTACAATAATGCATGGTAAAATCGATCTAAGTTACAATCTCAAAAATCAATATTAATTAACCTCTTTATTAATTACAAATGCCAATTACTACTTAGGTAAAACCCTGTTAGAGTAATAGAAAGTGTGATACGGTAGAGCAACGTTGGCAAGTTATATGATGCTACGCACCTATCTACTGCTTGAGCAGGATCAATAAGTGTAGAAAATGTCACTGCTCAAAGGCAGGAGCAAGATGAGGTCTTAACTGCTAGTTACATGTAATTATACAGGAGGCAAAGCCCTGCAGAGTGACACAAGGCATTCATTACAGCCACCAGCCACATCCTGTCTTGGGAAATCTGGACATATTCTTACCTTGAAGTCTGCATGTTTGAGATCAAGCTTTCTTGCATACCTCACTAAACAGTCTTGATGTATAACAAAGGATTTGGTCCTATATATTTAAAAATAGCTTGAAATATTTTTCATCTGAAAAAGACTTGCTGGAGCTCTATCATCTACAATTTGTAGTATTATGGTAATAACTATTGCTGGGAAAACACACAATTTTGATTTTATATATATATATATAAATACACATTTGTACCTAAGTGTATCTTCATATACACTTATATAGATACTGTATATTATATAGAAATATATACATACATACGTACATATGTGTGTATATACATATAGATAGGAAGAGTCTCAGCTATTCCATCCTGTTCACTGGAATTCATTTGCCGGAGTGAGCCAAGGCCTGTTTTGCTTTGATTTACTCTGGTCTCCTTTTCATCTACTGCAATGTCCCTATGCCCTAATTCTGATTTTGTGTCTTTTTCATATTACAAGGTCTCATCCTATAGTCCTACTTGGGTAAAACTCCTGTAAGTCCTTCTTATTGCAGTAATACTTATGCAATGGTTGACTGTAATGCTTCTAAATTTTTTTTCTTTTTCTCTTTGATGAGAATGTAGATAAAGCCAGATTTACAGTAGTCTTTTTCCTGTAAACAGATTTTTTCTGTAATGAATTGTACATTTTTATGGAACACTTAGAGGCACAAATTCTGGTAAGAAGAATGTAATTATTCCAATTTCTTAAAAGGGTCTAATGGAAAATGAATTATATGTGCCTCCAGTTTTTATATATATCTTAAATTAGAGATTAGTCTTCTGGAAATGAATAGGAGAAAAAAAGAGAGCTCAAAGTCAAACTCTTTCTCATGACAGGCCTATAATACATGGATTTTTTTCATGCAGGACTGATGCTGTGAGGGGACAACAGCCATGTCTGTCTTGTCATTCTCAGTGAGTCAGGGTCTGCTTAGGTTAACACTAAGCTTCCTGTGGTGCATTCTCTGTATGCTTTTCCACTTCTAGGAATGGTCAGAGAACACTTAGCTGGATAAAGGCCTTGACTTTTATCCATGAGTCCTCTCTTCAGCTGGTGAAAACTTTGGCTGCTTGTTGGATGGTGAACATGGCAGTGCTAGGTTAGGAGTTGAATTTGGATCTTGGCAGTGTTTTCCAACCTTGATGGTTCTATGATTCCTCTTTCTGAAATTTATAGAACAGGACATAATATTTTTATTCAACTTCTTTTAGCTAATCAAGTAGGCAGTGAACAACTGATTGGGTTTGTTTGCTGTTTTGCTTTTGGCTCAAATGTCTTTGGTTGTAATTAGTACCATTTTTGGTTACCAGAAATGCTGGTAAAAGAAGTGAGGTTCAGTGTTTTGACTATATGCAATACACAGGCATAGGTCATACATTTTTTAGCTAATCAAATTGCATAAACATGCACATCACATAAGAATACCTCACCTGTCTGCTTGAAGCCAGTGTTCCTTTTCCCTACACATAATATTTGTGAAAGAGAAATTATATAAAATCAGCTTGGATTATATAATAATTATCAGGAATTATCTTATGATATTGTCAAATGCCAAAAAGATTTTATCACTCATTTTCATATGGTTTAAATAATCAGGCTTTTAAATATATATCTTTAAGGAGGGGGTTTTGTTTGGTTGGGTTTTTTAAGGAAAAATGTACAGGAGTCCATTGTTTCAAAGACTGATGTATTAACTTTGCAATGACTCTTGCCATCCAGGTTTGAACAAGTTGGGCTGATTTTACTCTCCATTGATGGTAACACATTCTCTCTCAACAATGATAATGACAAGTCCAAATGCTATGCTCCTGTTTCTCTTCTACATTAAGAGCTTGGACCCGTGGGAGTTCTTGCTGTTCTTGTGCAGGTGCAACTTCATTAAAATCAGTATAGGGTCCTGTTTTGTTGAGGCTCTTTCCCCTGATTAGGAACTGAAAACATAAACTCACTCTATGAATATCAAATTTGCTGTTGCTGTATTTTAAATTGGAAAGTACTGATTTTCTTCTTGTTGTTATTATTATTACATGATATGACATGCCTCTGGATCTCTCCTTTTCTGTCAGAATTACTGTTGAGAGCCAGCTTTGGCCAAGAGTACAATGTGGTTTCTTTTAAAACAGTGTCCCAAGTGGGCTACTCATGTGAGGCCCCCATCATCCACAAGTGTCTGTGGGAATTCAGCTGGAATTAATTTGATGTTTGTTTTGAGATCACTTGATCTTTGACCTTTTATGTAAAGGGCCTATGGTAACAGCAGAACAACTTGCTCCAAAAGATGCATTGTAATTAATTTTTTCTGCCTGGCTTCAAATCCTTTTAAACCAGTATCTGCTGCATGGCAGGCATGGTCATAAAGGTTTGATGCAAAGTGAAGTAGGATTTTTTTGACAATTTCACATATTTTTCTTCTGACTGGAGATCTGGATTTGTTCCCAAGCAGCCTTCTCTGCATCCTCTTTACTTTCATTGGCTAGGAAGCAAGATTGAAAATTCTTCCCCAGCTTTTAACTTTCTTTTTTATAGAGTCAGCCCAGACTCAAGCTGCAGTGCTTGTGTTAACAGATGCCAATTTTCAAATGCTTTCCTATGAACATCCAAACTACTAAATTAAGGAAATCACCAGCAATGCCTTCAGACAAGTACTGACTTTTTGAAGTGGCCAACCAATGGCTGCTAATCTAAAAATCCCTGGGCAATACCACAAAGAATTAAATCTATGTATTAATTAAAAATACAATGTTGTAAACCCCATAAGAAATCAAGTACTCAATAGTAAAGTCTGCAGTGTGATTAAATTAAGTGGAAAGTAGTTCTGAGATTGTTTTTTACCATTGAGGAAGACAATGTTGAGTCCTTCAAATTCTCTTACTCAGTAATTGCAATTCTCTTCCCCTCCTTAGAAATCCTCTAAGCCATTCTTTTCATTTAAGTTTGCTCAGGCACCCAAGAGCATAAAGAGTTAATGCCCTTGTAATGGTCATTTGTACATAAAGTTGTAATTATTTATTTTCTCATTTGTACCATATCAAGGCTTTGTACAATGTTTAAGTTTTGTTTTCAAATTATTTTATATTTTATTTTTATAAACTGGTTCTAAATAAAATATTCATTCAGCATGCAAAACTTCAGTTCTTGATTGTGTTTGTATAATGATTCATTAACTTATAAAGCTTTAGCTGAAATATTTTTCAGTGTTTTTTATTACTGTAACCCTGTAATTTAAATGGATAAAGTGCTTCAGTAGTGATTTTTTTTCTCTGTTTCAAAAAAGTAAAAAACAAGTGTGTGTTGGTACTACTACAGCATGAATCAAGTGTTCATATTGCAAATTGAAATGATTGGATCAATGGAAGTTTAACTGATTTAGTAGGTTCGTGTGCTGTATATTAATAACTACAGAAAAATCCAAATAGGCCACCTCAAAAACCTGACTTTCTATTTGTTCTTATCCCTTCCGTTTGTGTTCATCTAAACAATAACTGATTGGCACAGCCAGATCAGGTCAATTTTAGTAACAATAGGATGGTCCTGAAAAGCCAGCTGCTGATGGCATTTTTCCCTTCAAAATTGTATTTTTTTATTTAGTCAGAGGTCACTATAATTGACCTTTTTTGGGGATAATCAGTTGTCTGGATGTAGTCACTAAGCTTTTACAGTCTCTTGAGGGGACTTGTCTCCCTCTGTATAATAAACTTAAGCAGCAGATAGCAGAGAAATGAATGAATGGAAGTTGTTACTGAATCTGAGTGCTATGGGGCAAATGCAGTGTTAAGCTACCAGTTGCTCTAGTTTTCTCCAAGACCCTTTTATCTTTCTAGTAACATTAAGCATAAGTAGAGTGTAAAATCATCACAATTTATATTTGTGGTTTGTGCCTGAATGTCTTAGTCCTATGCTACCAGAAAATAGTCTGCACTTTGCACAGCAGGACAAGTTTTTTAGGGAAGTCCAGAAGAATTTGAGAAAATTCCCTGGATCCCTTTCTCAGTATTACCACTGTTATGCCATGCATTTGGGAAAATTTAAAGCCAGCTTTGCTTTTGTTCAAATAATTAGCAGTATTTTCATTAAGCTTCATGACCAGGTCATTAGCTCTTGTCATTTACATAAATAGCCTGGATAGCTTCACAGGAAACAAACTGGGAATTCATTAACTCAGTAACAGTCCAAGAAAATTATTTCACCTTCTGTTAAGAGCAGCCAGAAAGTTAATGGCATGGCTTCTGGATGGTGCATGTGATCACAGAAAGGGTGTGTAAAGAAATAGCAACCAACTGTATTAATTTGAAGATGAGAATAACAATTTTGCCCACTCTGTAGTGATGAGAGGTAGCTCAGTTTCCTTCTCTATTTAAAAGATGTAAATCTAGAATGTGTCAGAAGTGGAAGAGTGACTTTGATCTGGCTCCAGTATATTTTAGCAGTTCAACTGAAACACAGGGAAAGAAGCAAGATCAGAACAAACATTGATGTGAGGTCTGGTTGTTCTCTGACCATCACAGTGTCACACAAGCATTGCCTGGCTTGTCTTCATTCATACAGGAGATCCAATCTGCCCCTTCTGCTCCCAGGATCTTGCTGCACTTCTCTACTTGCACTGTAGCTGCCTCTCATGTAAATCAGCACTGGAACACCAGAAAGCGGACACAAGTCACCTCTCCCAAGAAGTATGTGAAATTCAAGAATTAACAGTTGCAAAAAGAATTGAAACATCAAGAGAGAGACAGGTTAGAACTGCCAGTTGCAACCTGGACAAGCTCAAACTGCTGCCCAGAAGTACCAGGTAGATCGCGTTTCCAAATCTACCTGGAATACCATGGTAGCATGAATTACCTTCTGTGTCCATGAAAACAAAATACAGAAAATCCTGCTCAAAAGAGCCCATCTGTACTGATGGAGGAGAAATAATGCTTCCAACAAGTTAATTTGAAAAGCTTTTAACATAAAAACAAAAATCCATAGAAGGATTCTTTGCCGTTCTTAAACTCAGCAATTTCTTAATACCTGTCACCCACACTATCTTCTTTTGTTAAGGGAAACCTGGAAAAAAGAACTTTCTCTTCTTCAAGGCATTAATCCCAAAGAACATTGTGCTGTACACATATATATTTTATTTTTGTGAGATTTTTTCACATTTTACTCCATCCGTGATTCTGAAGGGAAACAATTGCTAACTGGTTACCCTGTTTTCACATTTTAGTAGGCAGCAGTGGCTGGTTTCTGAAATGCAGATGAGTTAATTCAGTACACCAAAATGGTGGACATGAACATTTTCATACGGTGCTGTTCAGTCGAAGCTGACTGCAAAAGTGGCATACCTTATGCTATGATTACATATGCTTCTAGGAGAGGGGCAGTTTCATTGTGATTCTCTATGTTATTTGTATTTGCTAAATTTCTGCAGCAGGAATGCTTGTGCAAACTGACTGTAACACTACAAGCAGCCAGTCATTGCTATAGGCCAAATTTATCTGCAGAATCTTTTTAAATGTTGGTGATAAATGCTTAAGAAGAGCACCTGTATGACTTTTCAAGTCACTGGACAACATTTCAGGTGAGTGTTTTTGTTTGACCTCTGGTACAGCTGCCAGATACAAGAACATTGCACCTCTGCTACTTCTGAACTGTGCAAAGTAGAGTGGCTCGAATATGTAAGCCTGAAACACAAAATAGTGCCAGTGACAACAGTTTTCCCTATCTAAATACGAAATGGCAATTCTTCTTTTTGGCATGAAGATAAAATGATTTTTGCTTGTTTCAGAGTTGACATCAAGTTACATTTCGCTCCAACTCGTCCTCATCTTTCTTCTTCCTTGGCTACTTAGTTATGAGAAAGGAAATGATAATCCAAGCTTTCTAAACTATGCCTGGAATGAAGTGAGCCCCTGCCTCCTGTAATTTAACAGCAAATCTGACTTCCATTTCATGTAAAAAAATACAAAGCTTTTTGTTCTCTGTATTTCAAACACTGTGGTATTGATTCAATTTCTTAAAAAATCAGATGAAGATACAGCCTACATATAACCTGTATGTCAGAAACAGGCATCACTCATCCATTCCTCATTCTTCTGTATTTCTCTATTTTAAACATGCGACTGGTTAAAAAAAGAGACTACCCTGCTTGTGCAGTAAAACACAATGTCTCTGAAGAGAGGGTGCATTTGACAAGCCAGGAATGAACAACAGCCAAGTGGAACAATGCTGTATGCCTTCTGAGGAATACACTAATGAATGCCAGTGAATGCTCAGTGCTAAACCATTCCTAGAATAAGCAGGTATCTTAAACTCCTTCTGTGATGCCTTGCACAGCTCAGACTTCTGAACCTCAACAACAACAACAACCAAGCAAACACCCCCAACAAAACTACTAGAAAAGAGAAGTACTTAAAAACTTCTGAGGCTTGTTTAATCCAAGAACCAACTAACTTCTGTAAGTTAGCTCCTGGTGGTAGTAACCATAATGCTACTTTTTTACCCCACTCTCATGCCTTTTATTTTTCACAAGGTGACATTAAACAAAGGATGATACAGACAAAAGTCTTACTCAAAATAATTTTTTTTTTTTAAGAGAATAAGAGGATAAAGAAAAGAGAAGAAATTTATTAGCCAACTGCAACAGAGTTAACTGGAGGCTGGTAATTAGTGTTTAATGCCACCTATAGTAAAATGTTTCCCACTGGGAAAAACACGGGAGGCAAGTCCACTTCGCTCCTTTGAAGTCACAGGCCGGAGCAGAACATACATCAGCACCCAACAACACAGTCATTTTACATCTATTCAAGTTTTTACACATCTGCAAAGCAGAAATAGTAGCAGCCATTTGGATGTTCTTTCTTAATGGTTCTCAGGGGGGGCCTAGGAAACTCAGAAGGACCTGGTTCTTGTGACATGGAGCTGGAGCTGCAGCTGCTGCTTCTGCTGCTGCTTCCAGCCACCTGTGCTCTAGCTCTGTCCTTAGCAGGGGAGAGCTGGGGGGATCCTGGGCTCAGGTACCCAGCTGTGGTCTGAGTAGATGCAGTGGCATGTGTGGTTGGGCCAGTGTTGTTTTTCACATAGACGTTCTTGATAGCAACAAGCGTATGTGCCATGATGCTGATGCTGTTACTCAGATCTTGCATGCCTTGCTGCAGCAGCCGAAGATTGTGGTTGACACTGTCAAAGCCAGACTGGATCACCTGTATTTGGGTCTGCTGAATCTGCAGTAGGTCCTCTTCAGTCATTTCATTTTGGTCTGCCTGGCACCTGCCTTTTGTTTTGGCTTTTACTTTCCCAGAGGAACCACCACCTGATGTCCCCAGAAAAGGCAGCTGTTCTTGACTAGGTGGAACCACTACCATGTCCCCAGAGCTTTCTTCTGGCTCCACCACCTTCACTACTATTTCTTCTTTGAGGTTCATCTGCTCAAGACTGGATTGATGAGATGGGCCAGGACTGCCATTAAACCCTAGAAGAGGTGGAGGGAAGAAAAGCAAAGGAAAGCCCATAAGAAACTTCATAACCTCAGTGGTGACATATTTTCACGTCCACTAAGCACTAAAATCAGTCCTTGAAACAAGACTCTCAAAATATGCTATCATTGATGGTTTTAGAATACAAATTACTTCGAGAGGTGGTAAAAAACCACAAATACACATTCACCAGTTAACCATGTCTCTGCATACTACAGCTCCCTTACTACCACAGAAGCCAAGCTTTAGGATCCCAGAGACAAAGTTCACTGCAAGCTCATTTCATGCCATATCGTGCATGCAGTAAACAGTTATCATTGCTCAGAGCTCAGCATTGCTGAAACACTGGATTGCAAGAATCCCCTGATATTCCAGCATGCTAGGACAATATCGCTGGCATGTATGAAGTTATGTGCTCGCAGCACTTTGTACTGGCTGGACCTGCGTGCTGCCATTTGCAAGAATAATAAGGGCAATAGTGAAGATCGGTGGCCGGGTCTATCGCCTCATGGATGGGCAGCATCTCCTACGAAACGCTGTTTTTACTCTTGGTGCTGTTCTTAGACACTTCTGTGACCTAGAGCACGAAGCCTCACAGTTCTGTGTGCGCGCGTATACGTTTTGCCTTTCCAAGGATCCGAACCAGCGCTTTCCTGCGGGGTCGGTGCCCGCGGCCCCTGCGCGCACGCAGCGGGCGGGCAGCGCCGCTCCCCGCGCACCGGGGCTCCCGCGGCTGCGCTGGGGGACGCCGGGCGGGCGGAGGGTCCGTGGCGGCGCCGCGGGGGTCGCTCCCGCACTCACCAATGTCCCCCACGACGGCGCCGGGCAGCTCCAGCGTGTCGATGCCGCCCACGATGGGCACGGCCTCGGCGGGCAGCAGGGAGCCGTAGGGGCGGCGCTGGCGGCGGGCGGGCGGCGCGGCGGCGGGCGGCAGCTCCTCGGGGGCCAGGAGGAGGCCGAGGGCGGGGGGCGCCGGCGGCCCGCAGCCCTGCGAAAGGCGGCACAGCTTGCTGCGGTCGCGGCGCTTCAGGTCCCGCCAGCGCTTCTTCAGGTCCTCCACGTCGCGGGGGCAGGCGGCCACCGGGTTCACCTTGTGCCGGATCAGCTCCCACACCTTCCGCTTCTGGCCCGCGGAGGCGCGGCCGGGTCCCGCCGCGAACAGCAACTGCTCGTGCTTCAGCACCTGCTCGATCAGCACCTCCGTCTCCGCCTCGTTGAAGTTCGCCTTGCGCCGTTTGGGGGAGTCCTCGGCCATCCTCCGCCGGGGGTGTCGGCGGGCGGGCGGGCGGACGAGGAACCGCGGGGAGGGGTGGACGCCGCTGCTCTTCTCTGCGCCCCGACCCGCGGGTGCCGCCGCCGCTAGGCCGGGCCCCGAGCCCTGCTGGGGAAGGAAATACCGCGCATGAGAGGAAAAGACGCGCACGGACCGGCGCAGGCGCCCCGTGCCCCGCGTGTTGACATGGGGAGGGGGCGCGGCCCCCGCCCGCCTCCCCGGCGGGAATCCCCGCTCGGCGCCGCCCCCGCGGGAAGGGGGAACACGGCGGGCCCACCCCCGGCGCGGGTTGTGCGCGTGCTCGGCGGGAGCGGGGCCGGGAATGGCGGCGGTTTTGGAGCTGCTGCTGCAGGAGGAGGTGCCGGTCAGCGCCGTGGTGCGGTGGCTCCGGCACGGCCCCGGCCACCGCACGGCTGAGGTAACGCGCGCTAGGTCGTCCGCCCACAGCGCCCTGGCTCCGGCGGGACCGGGCCCGCAGCCGCGCCACTCCCCCAGCACCCTCCGCTGCCGCGGGCCGGGGCCGTGCGGGAAAGTTTGCCCGCCCCGCACTGCTGTGAGGGGTGAAGCCCGCGTGGGTCAGCCCGGGGCCCCGTCAGGTGCCGTTCCCGGCCGAGCGTCTGTCGAGCCGCCAGCGGCACCGCCCCCGGCGCGGGCGGGCTCCGGGCACGGCGGCGGGAAGGCGAGGCCGCCGGCGAGAGCTGCGCCGGGAGCTGCCTGGCGGGCGTGTGAAACCCGCTGGAATGCGCGGCGCGGAGCCCGCCGGAGCTCAGCGCCGCCGGCGCCGGGCGGTCTCGGGCGGGCCGTGGCGCCGCGCGGCTCCGGGGCGGGAGCGGGGAGGCCCCGCGGGCACGGGAAGCGCCGGGAGCCCGGGGCGCCGTGTGCTAGCGCAGAGCCAGCGGGACCGGGGGTGGGCTGCGCGGCACGGCGCAGCACAGCTGGTGTCCTGAGGGAACGCGGTGACACTTCCCGCATCTCTGTAGGGGAAGGCAGCGGTGAAAGCAGGACGAGGCGGTCAGCACCCGGGGCTTGGTGGTGGCTCTCTGCAGGCGCCAGCGCGCCTCCCGGCTGGATGTTCCTCCCGCCTGGACCTTGAGGAGGATCTTTGCGGGCTGGTAGAGGGTGGTTATTGGCTGAGTTTTGTAACGAATGATTTGGGTTCTTGTGGAAATAAAAACTTTTGTAACTGTAGATGGACTAGGAGTGCTTATGTTTCCCATAGAGAATGACACAGAGAAACAATTGGTATTTAAAACTTCTTCTACCTGATCCCCTCGCATAGTGCTACCTGGTGTTAAAATCAAAACTCAATGGTGTCACCCCCATGAGTTAGTTGGGTATTGCCATCATCCTAAATGTGTGGGAAGAATGGACCAGCACTTTTATGTTGTGTGGTATTTCTTCAGCTGTGACTTGCAGAAGCAAACCTGTGGACATTATGAAGTTTGAGATCCTGGCAGCTCAGCTAGCGCTGTGTGGGTGAGGGGTGGGGAGGTCAAAAAGTTTGCCTTTGCAATGGAATTTCTTGCTGCCTTTTGCTGTTGGGAGCAGTGCAGTTACTTCAGCATGAGAAAGCAAGTGAGAGGTTTGCAGCTGGCAGCTGTTGACAGGTTGCTCTCACCCAGTTGTGGGGGAGCCAAACCTCCGTTAACTTGGACAGAGAAAGATGAGTGAAAATAGGTTGTGCTCTGAAAAGTTGGAGAAACTGCCCAACCGTATGCATAGCATAGACTGTAATCATCTTTGTGCCCCTGTGCTAATTCCAGGGGAAGGAAATGCTAGGCCATGTCTTGCTCTAGCTCTCATGGCAGTTTTGGGCTGGACATGGTCTTCTGACACCTCATGGGGGTTGTATTCTGAACTGTGCTTTTTCACTGGTTGTTGGCTGCTTGGCTTGTTATCTGGGCTGTGTCAGAATTTCACACTTCTCCAAGGAGCTGAATTGGTCTCACACTTTAAAGTATGAATTTTAGTATAGGTGTTGAAGATTGTGTGAGTCCAGTTACAGACAGGCATGTTAATTTTACTTTCACTTCTTTCTTTCACGCAGAAACCACCTTCAGAAATAGTGTTTGCTTTTTTGACTTTTCATCTCGTTAGGGTTGTGAATACAACTTTACTGGAGCATGTATGCAATGCTTTCAGTATTAGTGAGGAAAAGGTTTTGAGAACTTCTTCTGTTGTTGCAACTGTTGCTGAATCCCATTGAGAGGAAACAGAAACCTGATGGAGTGTTAGGAACAAAAGAATTTTTACCCAGGGTACAAAACTTCAAACTGCGCATGTAGTGTGAAGTAATTTTTGTCTAGATTTACCCTTGTAAGATCAATGCCACCTGTTTAGATTTCAAATGTGTTGGGTCAGTGGTGGGGTTTTTGTTTAAGTTTCTCAAGTATAAACTTCACCTACCTTAAAATTGCATAGTCTCTGTTTAGACTTCTGTGAGTTCTCGAGCAAAATTACTTAATTGAAATGGAAGAGCAGCTTTGGTCGTGTATTTGGCGCTGCAGGGCTCCAGGTGCTTCAGCGGTTGTTGTTACAGCACCCCTCTGTGGGAGCAGGCGGCATTCACAGAAAAACAGGGCGCAGAGACCTTGCAGACTGTAGATTTTTCTGTTAGAATTAGATGCTTTCAGTATTTATGTTTTCAAAATGTTGAACTTGGGGGCGTCAGTTGCTCCAAGTCCTCCCTGGTCATAGCTGCAGAGAGTATTACTGATGTTTCCATGGAACAGTTTCATTATTTTCCAATCAGAGACCAAAGTGAATGACTCCATCTGAAAACTTGTGCCAAAATGGCTCGTGTGTAGGCTGGTTTTAGGATCTGTGACCAGCACTATTGAATTTCAGTGATGTACTTTGACAAGTCATGTTGGTTTTTATTGTGTATTGAAATCCCATAGTTACTACTTAAATGTGTCTGGGTACTTGGACAGAAAGAATCAGGTGGCATCTTTATATTAATTTTTTGTCTACTTCTCTTGTAGGAGAATCACATCCATGACAAGCTGATATCTCTTAGCTTGCTTCAGAAAGATTTTGTGCCTTTTCTGCTGAATTTTTTAAGGGAGCAGACCAGCCAGATCCTGACTAATGGACCCCCTACTCCTGCTAAAACTCCTAATTCCAAGGCTCATGGGAGCCAAAGGACAGGATCTGAAAGGAGGGCAGGCCATGCAACCAGCAGCCGAGTGCAGCTCTTTTCTCAAAGGACTTCAGTGACCACCGGCACCACAGATACCAGCTTTTCTCCTGATGCAGCATCCAGTGGTTCCTCTTCCTTTTCTGGGTCGAACCTGTCTAGCCCTTACGGTGATTTCCCCAGCGTGGTCTCCAGCAGCAGTCCGAGCTTTGGGCACAGCCCTGTGCTGCACCACGGTGAGAGGCGTTCCTCTCAGAAGGCCAGCCTGGGCAGCTTCCTGGCAGGCACACCGGAGGCGCTGCCCGCGAGACGGGGCCGCAGGAAAGGCAGCGGCTCGGCCGGCGCCTCTGGCCGGCAGGTGGCTCGCGATCTGGGCCGTTCCCTTGCTGAAGAGGAGGATGGAAAGAGCGATGGTGGATCGTGGAGTGGAGGGAGAAGGAAGCGGAGTGAAGTGCCTCTTGTTTCTGCCAGATCCCCGCCCAGCCAGCTAAACCTTAACAACCTGGAGGAGTTTCCACCCATGGGTGCTGCCTCTGGCTGGACAAAGTAAGAGCGAGTCCGCCTCGTTGTGTCACTGGGATTGCTGCAGGTTGCAGCTCCTTGACCAGCAGTTGTGGGTGTCCAGATGCAGAAGAGGCTGTAATACACAATACCTGGCTTCTGGGAAACATGGTCAGAACTGCTTTGTTCTGGTCATTGTGTAGGGAGGGGAGTATTGCCTTGGCAGGGAGTCAGGTTTCCTCTCCATGGGCTCACCCAAGACGCTTCTTTTGCCTCTCACTTGTGATGCTGCCTGCAGCTGGCCAGTGCACGGCCCAGCTGATACACAGCTGAGCTCGTCTTTGTCCTTGTGTGTTCTAACGAGTCAGCGTTATCCTGGTTCCTCACGATTCTCATTTAACAGAATATCAATTGGTAAGGAAGAGCTATCCTGGAAGGCTCTCCAGCTTTACTGATGCTAGCAAAAAAGCTTTTGGATTGATCTTCTGTGGCTTCTGGTAGCAGATGTTAGCCTGCAGCTTCATTTGTGCTGTGTAATTGTGGACAAAATAGCAGGCTGTGTTCTTGGTCTGCAGCAAGCCCTGGTCTCCGTGGTGACTTCAGCTAAGCTTTGGGGCAGCTGTTTGTGTTGTGGTTGCCTCAGTCCTTTCATCTTTGTCTTTGCGTTCTTTAAAATCCTCATTACCAAATAGAAAGCCTTTGTGTCAGCCTGTTTGCTCTGTATATCAGTCACTGGTCTCTGAAAGTGGGACTTTCTAATTGGACATGCAAAATTCCAGCTAAAAATTATAAAATGAGTGAGTGTTCAGCAAATCCAAATGCAGGGGTTGGGTCCTGCTCTAGACGCTACTTTGGCCAAGATAAGATGCGTTGCCAGCACAGCCAGCAAGTCTCTCTTCCTCAATTTCATTAATGCTCAGCTAGGAAAAGGAAGTAGGAAAGAGATCACAAGTCTTTGGAAATCCATCGATTTTGAGAACACCTTAGCAGTTAATGTGTAGCAACCAGCATTTCTGTGGTGCTTTATGTATCTGTATCCATTTCCATTTTCTTAGTGCTTTTTTTGCTACTTTACCAAGCCTATTCCTGAAGGACAATCAAGTATTTTATGCAGGAAGGATGAGTTTCCCTGAACTTAAACAGCCTGGACTCCCACTGATAGACAATGGCAACTTGATTGATTTTGGTGGGTTTTTTCCCTCCTGATCATGTCAGAAATTAATTCACCAGCAGTTTCTTACTAAAATGGGACATATCCTGTCCTGCAAATTAGAAACATTTGGAAGGGTTGTGTGGCCCTGTGGTACCTGTTAGATGACTTGCTATTTGATAATTAATTTTGCTGCAGGTTTAGCAGGTTGCTTGTAGCAGTCTATAGCTCCATGACTTTTTTTTTTCAGTGATAGAATAAAATTAATAATTACAGGTACAGTTTAGAAATTCAATATCCTAGCTCAACATCCATTTTGTTTTAACATTAGATTCCTCTGGAAGAGTTGATTGCACATCTGTCTTGCGGCCGAAATTTTTTTGTTATTGTTTAGCTTGATTTTAGTGGGGTTGCTTCTGTTCTTTTCAGCAAAAGCAAACCATCGAGGCGAATCAACCCAACTCCTGTGAGTGCTGAGCGGCCCCTCTCGAAACCAAAGACCTGCTTCACTTCCACACCTGTCAGCC